CGAGAGAGAGAGAGAGAGAGAGATGACCTGATGAAAATCCAATGTGAACCCAAACAGTTGTTGCTGCTGCAGCTTTGCCGTTATGTGGCGCTGCTTGCCCGCCTGACGGCTGCAGGCTCGCTATTAACGAGGCTTTGATGACCGGGCAGCGGGCGGAAAGCGAAGAGGGTGGGGCCATCTGGTGTACGTCGACTGACCTGATGCGTCGACGCTTCGAGTCGAATTGCAAAGCTGTTCTTCTAGAGCGCTTTGCTCATCAAACACGCGAAGGAAGACCGAAAGCCGACGCGACGTCCGTCCGCTCACTCGTTCGTCCGTTCCTCCGTTCGTTTGTCCATCGTCCGAGCGAGCCACGAAGCAACGAGTAGGCATGCGAGCTTCGAGCAACAGCGATGTTGCCTCTCGTTTGATTATATCGCCGCACACAAAGACGGCAGCAGCGACCGCAGCCGTTTCCTTCCGAAACAGGAAAGAAAACGATCGCGACCGTTGTAGGCTCGTATATGACATCCAACATACAACAATGTAGCAATGTGGCCGGCCGCCACTCCAACGGCGAGACCGACGGCAAATTGATGGAGACCGTCTTCTGTGACAACAACAACGGCGAACATTATGATGTCGACGACGACGACGACAATGACTGGGCGGCGACGATACGGAATATTCATTGAAATATCATGCACGCTTTCCGTCACTCCTCGTTCTTCTGCCGCTCCTCGAACAAATATCGAGGCTCTGTGGACTCGGCATCGTCGGGGACGGGAAGTCTATTGGTGCGGGTTCATTTGGAAGTTTTGCAAAGTGTCCGACTTCACATTCCACTAAGTGTGCGTTTCGAGCTCCGATCGAGCAACTAGTCCGGACAATTGATACTCACGACGCCCACAAAGTGCCTGTTCCAGTTCGTATTGTATATGCAATCATCGACGCGAACGTACAATGTATCAAGAAGATCGTTTGGAAATTGCGATGGTCGGATCGTGGGGCTTTCAACGAATCCACGCGCAAGGAAACACGAAACTAGAGCAGTTACGAAAAAGGAATGAGAGTTCCCGCAATGCTTCCGTGCGATTTCGAGTCGCTCTTTGGAAAATCCTCGGCGAACCACGTGCCGTACACGGCCGCTCTCAAGGACACGGAAGGAGCCGGCGTGATCCACCAGCAGCGTATAGAGGAGTTTGTAAAGCTTTGCGCCGCGAGCGACCCAGTCACCAGGGGAGCTGTGAGAGAGCGGCCGCGAGAACGGAGTCACTTGGAGGCAGCATTGTTGGAGTCGCTCGAAATTCGCGTGTGCATTAGAAGAAAAAAAAACGGGGAACGAACTTCGTTCAACGACTGCGTCGGCCTCGAAGTCGACACTACAGCAATTACACAATGGAAGAGGCTCCTATCTATCTATGATGGACACGAATTGATTTTTTCATTAGTGCTCCGCTTCGTCTTCTGCTGCGACCGTTGCTCGCACGCTCAGTCAAAAGGCCGCTTGTGCCAGCACTTGAACGGCGGTGGTGATGCCACTCCGAGTGGCGGTGGTTGTACTGGTTGTGGCAACGCCTTCAACCGACAGACCGACCGACTGACTGGGTCCAAGTAACCGAGACACAGATCGAGCGACCGCTTCTGACTGCGCTCAAATCCACAAACGCATTTGGCAATGAGATGTTGATGTTGCGGGATGTTCTGCCAGTCAGATGCTCGTTCGATTGAGAGCTTGGCTCTTCGAAGCTTGGCAGTTCAGATCAGTCGAATCGAATAATTTCACGGCTCGTTCACGATGTCCGACGGAGCCTTGCGGTCGACCTGCAGATTAACCCTAGCGAGCATTGGCTGTTGGAACAAATTGACGGAACCGCATCACGCCGCTCTACGGTCGACACAGCTGATAGAGATAGGCCGTGGAGCGAATTACGGCGTGAGCGACTATAAAACTATCTATCAATTCGTCACGAGGTTCCATGTCGTGTTTATGCAGGCGACCGTGTAATTGACGATTCTGTCGCCTTTTCTCGCCCGTTCGCCCGCCCGTCCGTCTGTCTGTCCGTCCGAGCACCCGTCTGTCGATCGCGGGTGCGCTGTTTACCGTTCCTGACTCAATATTTATTTTTCGACAGAAACTCCCCACTCGACGTCAGTCATTAGGTGGATTCGAGCCTCCCGTGTATGTATTTTTGCTAGAATGAGATGAAAAAAGCGACCGCTGTGGAATATCCGCCTCCTGCTGAATTTTAAACTCATTGTCAGCGAGATCGAGGATTGGAGCCGTGTCGAGACCGAATGGAATTGTTATCCGAAGCTACCGACTCATAGACCCGGAGGGCACAAGAAGACTTTGAGGTCAATCGGAATGGAAATAAAGGATTCTTCGAAAGCCCGATCAGCTCGCCTATTCAGTCATTCTCCCGACGCGGGGCTCTGAGCGCGAGAACTGGGAATCTGGACAAATACGAGCGACTCTCCCGATGGATTTCTTCGCCCGGGGACTTCCTCGAGCCTCCAGTGGCTGTGTCCGGAAATATTATCCATGCTCAGGTTGGAACGAGAACTGCTCCACGAATTCGATATTCTCAGCCGGAGCGAAGTCGGACCCGATGCGTCCACATCAGAAAACCTAGATGAGGAAAACTGGTCTACGTAGAATTGCCCTCCCGTGTTTCCGTTCCGTGAACTCGCAGGGATATTATTTAGAAGTCGACAGACGATCCTGTTGCGTGGTTGGCAGGCGGCCCACACTGTGGCGGGAACGCCTCGATTCCTTTTGAGGAGATGTGAGTTTGGTCTGTCTAATCGGATTTTAATTCGTCCACGTCGTCAGCGGCGGCTGAATCAACCAAACCAGTCAGCAGGGGAACGACTGCTGCAAAGATGGATGGAGGGATGGATGGAAAAATAGATGAAGGAATGAATAGAACGAATGAGCGAATTCGCTACGCGAGACATCATCCCAAGCAAAAACCACGGAGCTTCGTTCGATCGCGGCCGCACCGACATGGCGTGGCGACAACGTCAACAAACGGAAGGGAGACAGAAAAGACAGAAATAAAATGCCATTTGAGCCGAGATCCGTCGCGAGCAAGTCCTGAGAGGGAAATACGAAGAAGAGAAACGGTGAACGGAGTGAGGTCGTGGGGAGAGGGAAATCCTCGGAAAGCGTCTCGACGGCAACATCATTAGCGGATTTTCCTCCTTCGGAGATTTGCACAAGAAAAATCTCCAGGGTCACCGCAATCCATCGATTGGCAATTGACGAGAAAGAGCTCCAGTCTCGATCAGTCGGATCCATTTACACCGTTCGCTTGCACTCTATTTTGATTTCGACACGACGCTGGCGATCGCTAGGACTTTCATCCATTCGGTGTCGACTTGTTCGTGTCCACGAGCTTGGCCGCTGACGTGGCTGGATGATCAACGTTGTAATTAGGGCGAAACCTATCAAAGCGAGAAATTCCCGTCGGGCGCAGACCGTGACAGCTGGCGGACTCTCGGGAAACAAACGCATGCCCAGATTCGTTCCTCAGTGATTCGACCGCGTGGCGTCATTTCCGCCCTCGGCTAGCCGTTGGCGAGCAAAGTTTTGCATTCGCGCCAAGTTTCCAGTGGCGAATGGGTCTACTTAAAGTTTCCCCCCGCTACGCCTTGTACTCTGTGCGTAAATACGGTGGACTCGGCACGTTATGAGTTCCTCAGTCAGCGTTCGAGGAATCTGGGCGCGAGTTCGCTTGCGTTGACGGGTCCGGACTCTCGGCATCGTTTATGCTCGCCCATGACTTCAATGCTGGCATCGGAAGAGGAGGCGCTATTCCTGTAGGAGATCGCCCGTTCCGTCCATAGGAGCTGGACGCGGCCTCTAAGAACACGTCGTATGCTTGCATCTCGCGGGGTTACTTCTCGAAGCCATTTCTCAGTGCATGGATTCTGCTCGTCTGCCTGCGTGTCTCTTTGTTTTTTCGACGTCGGCATCGTAGGGTTTGACGCACCGACGATGTGAGGCGAGCGTACATTCTTCAAGGAGCGCCCATCTCGTCCCCTTTCTAATTCGGAGCGCTTCAAATCTACGGAAAGCCCGTGACGTGGGAGAACTCGTCGTTTCGAATTCCTCGAGGCTTACGAAAGACTTCCATACCATCGCTTCCGCCGCCGTCATCCTCCACGACGACTACGG